GAAAATAAGTTAAGAGGTTTAATAATTACAATAATCATACACATCAGGATATCTCCAAACTATTTATTAAAGATTATTTATTGATATATACAAAAACTGACATTTCGAACGTGCAAGTCTCCAATGACGTCACAAAAACATGAGCAATATCTTATCTTATAGTCATAGTATCATGACCGCTGAACCACTTTCAGCATCTTTCCAATCCAGTTGTGTTATTTCAAATATTTTCAATTTCGTATATTTATAGCAGATTTCAATTTAATTGTTGAGCAAGGTATTTTCTCTAATCCAACTGGCCATCTTTCACCGACTGAAGAATAACATTACAACACGATGGAGTGTCTCTAAAAATAACGCCTCGTAGTAGAAACTGAAAAGAAAATGAGCATAATGGATGGCCTAGATGATGGGTGGGTTTTTATTTTTGAAAGCCAATAATTCACTTAAATGATGTGTGGCATGTCGACATATTTCGATGCATAACTGAAAACTGCAACCGAAGAACCTGTGTATTGCGTAATGTAGATGATATAAAAAGTTGTCCAACAATATTATGTTGAATAGGATAAGATAATCGTTTGTTTGTACCGCAATTTTGCAGATTTTGAACATGTAAATTATGTAAATTAAAAAATAATTATTATAGTAAAGTTGGGATTATGGAATACCATTTTTATTTAACGAATTATTTCGAAAAATATTGGAATAAATATAAATATAAATATATAATATGGCGTGACCAAAAGGTTTATTATATCGAATTATTGTAACAAACTTAACAAAAAAAACATGCAAAAAAATTTATTTTATGGTACCTGAAAAAAAAAAACATTTTTGTTTATCGAAAAAATGGTCGTACAAAATACCTATATGAGATAATACTATAAAATATTCTTCTAACAACAAAAATCGCAAATATAGCAATCTCGTTCGGCAATAGCGCGTAACTCGTGTGTCCAGAGCTCGCATCATAGGCACTTCTGACTTTACAACCCTGCGTGGGTACTAGCCTCCTTAAAAATTTCTATCCAGTCGTTCCTATCCATCGCCTTTTCATCAATGGTATCAAGACATCTATTACCACAATTGCGCATGAATATCTAAAATCAAAACGACAAAAGAAGCAAGAATGGATGATAGATAAAATATTGCAGATGATGGAAGAGCGAAGAAAATTAAAAGGTAGAAATAAGAACGAATACAAAAAGTTGCATAGGACTAAAGGAGATAAAAGGAGCAAAAAAGCATGGCTGACGGAGAAATGTACGGAAGTTAAAACACTACAACTCAAACATGACGATTTCCATATTCACAAAAAAATTAAAAAGGTACAGAACACCAGAAAACAACGCAATACAGGCATAGTTGTAGACATTGAAGGCCAGATTTTGACTACCACTGAAGATAAATTACGAAGATAGAAAGAATATATGCAAGAATTATTCGAAGATGCAGCACGACGTCCAACTGAACGTTGACGCCCAGAAATAACAAACGAAGAAGTAACTATGGCCATTACATGGATTAAAGATGGGAAATCACCAGGTGCATGCTGAAATTTTAAAGCTATTAGAGGCACACCAAATCACAGCTCTTATCAAACTATTCAACAATATCTACGAGACTGGATACTTACCAAAAAACTGGCTACTATCAATATTCATTTCACTTCCTAAAAAACCAAACGCTAGAAAATTTGAAGAACATTAATTTGATAAGCAATGTACTTAAAGTACTCCTTACTATGATTCACTCCCGCATATACACCAAATTAGAAGAACACCTGAGTGAAGTTCAATTTTGGTTCAGAGCAGGACTCGGGACAAGGAAGCACTTTTTAGTTTGCAAGTTCTAATACAGAGAGCCAGGGATGTCAACTGCGTTGTGTAGGCATGTTTCATTGATTTCGAGAAAGCACTTGATAAAGTCCCACATGGGAAACTAATCGATATCACAAAAACATCAGGACTCGATGGTAAGGATATAAGACTTATATCTCCAACAAAAAGCAATAGTACAATTAGAAAATGAACTGTACAAGATCTTCACACTCAAAAAGGAGTTAGACAGGGTTTTAGAGAGGCCTTAGACGAATCAGAAGATGGGATTGCTGTAAATGGCCAACTTATAAACAATATTACATATGCAGACGATACAGTGTTGTTGACAGATAGTACACAGAGGTTCTAAAGGATGATGGATAACGTTGTAGAAGCATGTAACAAATACCTAAAACTTAATTGCAAGAAGACAAAAATAATGATCATTAGTAAGAACACCAACATAAACGCCCAAATTACAATAGGTGATACACCGTTAGAAAGAGTGGAAAAATATGTTATTTGGGCTGCAATATTAAGGATACTTAAGATCACAGCTACGGAAGTATGTGTAGTGGTAAAATTGGTTGTTCATTTGCCCCTTCATCAGCATCTTCCTTGTCACGAGGCGGGTTTATTTGGATTTCATGTCCAACGGTTGCTTCTTCATCTTGTACGCTTCCACTAGAAAATTCTCTTTAAAAAATTAGTCTGAGTACTAGAAAGAAACTCGTTTATCAAAATCGATTGACTGCCATTACCAAACAGGTCACTGATGTCAAAATGAAATATTGGGCGATTATTTTGCCTTAAAAATTGACGAATATCTTCATTGTAGAAAATTTTTACAGCCCCCATTACAGATTTGTCGAGCGGTTGCATCTTGTGTGTAGTGTGAGGCAGTAAGCACAATAAAATTACGTGGTTTTTCCCTAGAAGCGATAATAACTGTAGGTTTCTCGTGTGAGGGTCATGGTTTTTGGCCTTTGGTTTTACATATTCGATGAAGTGACTAAACCATGGCGTAAAAATGTCGGTTTTAATCCACCCTGATGAATGGAAGGCAAAAATACTTCCAGGTGGAGCTCCATTTTTTAAAAATTTCCTAGCAATCTTACGAGGGAATATAAGCAAAGGGGGCACATAATTTTCACTTTCCACAAAACGCAATTAGATACCCTCGCTCTGCAGACGCCAGCGATCCTATTTGCCGCTTTCCCCTTTGGGAAAAAACCTCAGGACGACACTTTGATTGAACTTTGCTAAGACAACTTTCATCGAAGTTAAATATTTAATTAGCTGAAAAGTGTTTTTCTTCTGTTTCATTTTCTAATAGATGAAAAACTCGCCGAAGTTTTTCTTCTTAAAGAACAGTGTCTGTGTAAACGAAGTTCCCGTAGGCTGTCGTAGACTTAACATGTCCGTTTGCCTTAATCTAAAACGTTTTAGCCAGTCCTTTCCAGCGGCTTTTTTGAGTAATGAAAAGAAATTAGGTATGTTATTTCTCCTGGCTAACTGAAATACAAGATTACAGACATCCATTTGGTTAATCCATAATAAGTTTTCTTCATTTCCAGATTATCTGCAAAAATAGGTTTTCTCCCAAACCATCCAAAAACATTATTTTATTTTTTGTTTATATTTTTATTTATTTATTGTTTTAACATTTATTATGTAACAAAGGCAAGGTAGCAAGACTATTGTTTTTTTTATAATTTTTTGGGAAAAGCTCTTCTACACTTAAGAAAGAAATTCGAGGCAAACCACTATTTTATTATATTCCCTACAAAAAATTAATTTTCTCATCGCACTACCAAGAACTGTTCATCTTACCATCGTACAATTTATTTTCTTTCTTATAAACGGCTCCTCTAAATGCCTCTTAGGCTCTTAAAAAAGAAAAATTGAACCTAAACAACCGGTTGTATAAACAAATTAAAAGAATTTGTCATTCCGGCGGTTAAAGAATGTTTATCTAATATCAACAAACATAAAAGATCCATGAACTCCCGTCTCCGTATCCGCTCCAAGATCAGAGTACATCCAGAAATTCGGCTTATTTTTATCTCGAAGAAGTCCTAAACTATTCAAAAGATCGATGAATGTACGGACAATCTCGTAAATAAATCGTTTGTGTCTATTTTTGATTTTATTTACCTATATACTTGGATTTCGAAGGAGTACGTAGCGGGTAGCTGACACGGAACATTTAATTTAGTGGCTATAAATAAAAATAACAAGAACTAAGAAGTTATTCTTTCATGTTCGGAGATTTTCTAGGCTGTATGGTTGATGGCTTACATTAAATAATCTTGTTTTGACTTTTTATTGTAGACATGTGCGGCAATTTGAGTCAGGTTGAACTGTATCGGATGGTAACCCTTCATTATGTATATCCTGCTATAACAATATATTTCCTAATACGAAACTAAGACGAACAAATTTATAAATTGTTGACTGACCTTACAATTTTATTTGTAAGTTTATTTACAATCTGTAATTAGGATTACAATAAGTAAATTTTTTAATTAGATTACAAGAGACTTACAGGAGACTGTCCAGTGACAATAACCTATTAAAGCATAATTTTAGTAACAAAATTATTTGTGACTCTAAATCACAAAAAATCGCTAAAAATCCAGGCGCCAAGGCGTTTCCAAGGGTGAAAAATTCTTGGTATTGATTTTTGGCTATGGTATATCGTGGTGGACTGTATATAGCAGTTATTGTTAAAGGACAGTTCCAGTCTTCTATCCTTACACCTTAATCTTGCAAATAACGCAAAATCATTTTAACATAATACAATAGTTGGTGCAATCATAATAGCTATTATAATTATATTAGAAAGCTTTACCAGGTCATTCAAGTACTCTATTATTTTAAGGATTTAGATAGACAATTCGTCTGGCTCAGGTCTTTTTTCATTATATATGGTCGTCAATGCATTTCTTTCTTGTAATTTCTAAATTTAGTTATTTTTTTTTGCGAAAAGTACTTACTGTAGGTGCCCTTTTTCGTCTTCAAGTAGCTATTTAATATTTTCTTTCCATTATTTTTTTCTGTCGTCATTATAGTATTCCTATTTTTATTTTATGTATTTTGAAAATTTTCAATGTCTTTATATTTTTCTTTAAAATATGTTTTTCTTCCTAATATTTATACAATTTTTTGTTTCAGATCTTCGGGAATAGTCCATAAGGGGGGAAGTAGCATCCCTTTGCCGGGCTCCTCTCTGCCAGCTCGAAGATGTCCCCCGGACAAAGTCCGGCCGGTGGCAAGCAGCAGTCGGAGCACCAGCCCTGCTTTGTCCATGATACCCAGAGCACCTCCGTCTCAAATAGCCAGTCCCTATCAAAGCAATAACCAATCGCAGAAAAACTCGATGCTAGATAAGCTGAAACTGTTCAAGAATAACGAGAAACCTGTACCGGTCAGTAACGGAAAACGAACTAGTAGCTCTAGCGGAGTTTCTTCAGCTAGAAGTGAAAGAAGTGATTCAAGTATAAGTCTGGAGCCTAATGTTGATTTAAAACCAATTCGAAATACGTCTCGGCTGAAGCAGACGCGGCCTGGTAAACCAGCTCAAGTCAAGAACAGTCCAAATTCTACTAAAAAAGAAGTAGCTACCAACAAATCTAACAAAACGGCCGCTGATGTAGAAAAACATGCTTATAAAATAGCAAATCTTCCAGCTACTAAGTTAACAGAACCAAAAATCAGAGTTACCGCTAGTAAAGAACCTCCACCGAAAGTAAACCATATACCCATACATAACGGGACTGCTCAAGCAGTTCCTGGTACAGGCATACCCAAACCAACTGCTGCTGTGAAAGGCACTACTAAGATAAGTAGAGACGTTAGCGTTAGTTCATTCAAAATTCCCAACAGCACATCCATATCCAGAGAGAGCTCTCAGGTATCGTTAAAGCAACAAAAAGCTGCTGTAGCCTTAATTTCTCCGATTAAAAATGAAAAGGATACAACACAATTGTCAGAAAGCAGTCATAGTGCTAGTACCGGTCATCACAGTAACTCCAGTGAAAGTTCTGTCATCTACAAACCTTCCAGTGAAAGCGGTTCAGAGTGCCACAATGTTATTCCGAATAGAAAAGAACCTGTTAACTATATCACAGCTGTAACTGACCAATCACCTCCCCCTCCTGCGCCTCAAACACCGAAAGAACCACCCAATGACGAAAACAAGGACCAAAATAGCGACAAAGAAATTAACAACATATCGTACAATAACCTAGTGAACAGAGAAAAGCTAGATATATCGAAAGAAACAGAAAAAGATATCCTGAATCATATCAAAGACGTATACCTAGAAGAAAAAGATGATAATTTATCAATAGAACCAATGAGGCCTTTACTTCGAGGATACTGCAGTACATTAACTCTACCACCACGGCAGCGACAATACCAGAGGGTGCAGCCCGACGGTGGTTCCGATTATTGTGAAATTTCGTTGGCCAATGGGTACCTTTCGGATGGGGAGGTGTTGAGAAATACCGTTGTTATGGATATAAACGATGGGTATTTATCTGAAGGAGGGTCCATTTTGTATACCAGAAGGCTACAGACTATGCCAGCACATCTACCAAATGGGTGAGTACAAAAAAATCTCACTATATATTTAGGAAATGTGATATGTTACTTCAAAATTTATGCGTTAAAGCTTAAGTTTTTGAGCGTAGTATTCAGTAATGATTTGATATGAATTCATCTTAGTAACTAGACTTGTTTTCTCAAGTCACTCACTAATGAGTTTTTTATTATATTGTTAATACTTTTGTTGTGATAAAATATGAATACAGACAGAAAATCAAAGAAATATTAAATGTCTAAATCTTAATTACAGCTATTTACAATAACTTTACTTTGCATATTAATATTTAATATATTATCCACTTCCGCCGAAGTTCTGAAAACTGACATACTAAATAATGCCGTTTCATGCTCTCCCTTTCTCTGTATACTCTTCCAAAATGTATTGTCTTCAGTCATTAGAGCATAATCATCTCCCGATATGAATATAGAGGCTTCCCTCCACATAAAGTGTATTAAATTTTGAGCAACGCATGGAGAACGAAAGTGGCCTCCGCCATTTACAGGATATCTTTTAAGGATAATGGATAATCGGCGAGGGACAGGATTAAAATTAATGCCGGAAGGGATTACTCATCCTTTTTGAAGGACGAAAAGGGGTCCGGTTTCGCTGCAAGCGTCAGGGTTTAGCTTTTTTTGCATTTAGTTACGAACGACTAACCACGATTATTGAAACTGGAAATTTAAACTTTTAAAGGTTTACACGATGCTTTGTAATTCTGTGGATTTGTGGGAATTGAATAATAATATTATCTTTCTATATACAGGGTCTTTAATTTTTATTTGAAAGACCTCTGGTGCATAAATCAGGTTTAACTTAATCGACGGTATTATGTTGGCTTTGAGAGAGTCTAACGAAGAAAACCCCTTAAGAAAAAAACTAACGGGCTCAAATCGCACAATCTTGGTAGACAGTTTACACCTCAAAAGAAGTTGGTAATCGTCGACTTATAGCGCTCATCGTTGACAGTAAAACTAACTTATTTTTATTTCTTTTCATCCTTAATATTCCCTTCAATAAGTGAAATTATTCTATCTATCTAATTAGCCTTCTTTGGTCCATCTTTGGACATAGGCCTCCCCAATCCTTTTCCATTCTTATCTGTCTGTCGCTACAGTCATCCACCTAGAGAGCCCACGTGGTTCTTGATATCATCTGCCCATCTCATTTGGGGCCTTCCTCTGCTTCGTTTATATTCCCACGGTCTCCAACTTATAAGAATTTTGTTCCATCGCTCTTCTTTTTGTCTTATATTGTGTCCGGCAAATCTCCATTTCAATGTTGCAATCTTGTCTAACATCACTTACTTTTGTTTTTTCTCTATCCTCTCGTTTCTCTTTTTATACATTAGTCTTATGTGCAACATTTGTCTTTCCATTGCTCTTTGGGTTTTTATGATTTTGTCCATGTTTGCTTTTGTAAATGTCCACGTTTAGGAACCATCAGTAAGAACAGGGAGTACGCATTGATTGTATACTTTGGTCTTAAGATGCTGTGGATATCTTTTGTTTTTAAGAATGTAGCTTAGTTTGCCAAATGCCGCCCATGCCAGTCTAACTCGTCTCTTTATCTCTGCTGTTTGGTTCTCTTTGTTAAGTTTTATAGTTTGACCAAGATATATATAATCCTGAACTTGTTCTATTTCATCTTGTCCGATTCTCATTGTGATGTCTTCATCTGTATTTGTTATGGTTTTGGTCTTGCTGTAATTCACATCAAGGCCTATCTTTCCAGCTTCTACGTCCAGTTCTTTCATCATTTCAAATAATTCTTCTTTTTTATCAGTTATCGATACGATATCATCAGCGTACCTTAGATGGTTCAAGCGTTGTTCACAAATTTTTATACCTTTTTCTTTCCATTCTAATCTTTTAAAAGTATCTTCAAGAGCCTGCTTGAAAAGTTTCGGTGATATTGTATCACCCTGTCCCACGCCTCTATTTATTAATAGAGTCTGTTAATATTTTATGATACTGGCAACGACTCCATGATGTAGGTACTTTCATCCGCTTGCGAAGGTGAAATAGAACTGAGCTTTCATAGTTTTTGTCAACAAGTTTTTGGTCTAATAAGCCAGTACCTAAATCGACACAGAGACGTGTTTGCTTTGCGTGAACAATGGGAATTAAAACTGATTCGCTTCTCCTAATAACTTAATAAAGATCTTTATTTCATAAAGAATGTGTTTACAATGGAAGCTATTGAAAATTGTAAAGCTCAGAGATTGATAGAATAAAGTGAAACTAGAAAGTTTCATTACATCATACATTAATCTATGTTGCCTCTTAGAAGAGACATTTTGTATTATATTTTTAGTATTCAAAACCCACTTGTGAATATTTATTGTTAGTTCAGTTAAATTGTATTTTTGCTAGGAGAGTTTTGGGGTAGTTCTGACTTTTTCATTCCATATGTTTTTTGGGATGCTTAATCGGAATCTGGGGTTTGCGGACAAAATTTTGTGACGCAACATTAAAAAAAACAGAATAAACCGTTTTTTTTTCTTTTTTCGGGTTTTTTGCTTAAAACTCGACTATCAACTTTTGGTAAATGGTCTGTTTACAGAAATTAAAGTACTTGAAATTTTCTACAAAATACCAGTATTTAGTTTTTTTTTTCAGACGAATCGTTCAGTTTCTAGTGCGAGTTGAAAATTGTAAATTTTTAGCAGTTTATGCAAAACACACTTTTTACATTTCAATATTTAATTTTTATGTATGCTGTCATTTGATAAATGTCACCTGGTTTTCCACACAAGTAATTAAAAAGAAAAAAAGCAAAATTTATACAAATTCAGTAGGTAGGTAGAACTCGTAACAAAATAAAACTTAAAATCTCGTTACTTATGATCATAGACTATTATGATTATAAATTATAATATGCAAAATTTATATGAGCCGTTGTCTTTTGGAAGGCCCTGGCTGAGGTTCTTCTATAACGATGAGTCCTGGTTCTGCTTGTTCTGGAAAATAAAAGTTTAAAGTTAAGTCATTTATCAAGACGAGATGAAGATTGCAAAATAGATAGTGAGAAAAAAAGGAAAGACACATATCATATATCAAGGAGAGATGAATGACTACAAAATAACTTGTCAGATCCAACATACCTCTCTCTATTTCTTCAGTTTCGTCTACGTCTATGTCAGAGCTGTCTTCTGGGTGCTCAACATTGTTACACAGTCCTTCGCATGATGCGCATATTGGGAAACAATGGAGTCCTTCCTGCATTCACAATTGCGTTGACAGCCCTTTTTACATTTACATGAAATGTACCGGAGTATTGAGTTTGGTGCAGGGTCCAAAGTAGTTGATACTGGCACAACATCACTACTATTTTTTTGCCATCCCCACTCACTTGGGTCTTTTTGTTGCTCGTTAGGTGTGGCTTGACCGGATAATCACTGCTGCACCTGATAGTAAACTCTCAGTGAACGTTCTCGTGCAGCAGCTTCAGTTGGGGGCAATGAGGAAATGTTGGTCTTATTTTTGAATGATGAAGATACGTATTGTTTATATCTTAAATCGTTTAGTTTTGTCTCTTTTTTCCATATAGAGCCGTGAGAAACATGTTTCATGCTGTGGCAATCTCATCTTGACTTGAATTAGGGTATTTGAAAGCTTCAATTACCGATTGCAAATCTTTGTTCTTCTGCAGGACTTTAAGAAATTTCAGTTTCCCTTGATTAAACAATGCAGAAATAGTATCACAACCACTCATCGCATGCAGGAATAAAATATAATCCAATAGGATTTTCTCAGCAGCCAGATGAGGGTTGTAGAGGCTTTGCGAAACCTTTCCTTTTCCTGGCTTCAAAAAAATACATTTTTTTATAAGGACTACAAAGGCCAATCAAAATGACCAGTAGATCGATATCTTCCCCCATCACTGTCACATGTTCATTTGTGCGCTAGTGTACGCTACACGTACACACATACTACAACGTCTACAACAGTTTACACATTGTTGCCGTTTGGAATGTAAAGCGGCTTTAACTGCTTTTTAACTTAGATATTTTGATTTTTTGAAATCTAGCTATAATATTTGAGTCAAGACTTGAATTATCCGTGTGACTCGGTCTTTATTTTAATTAACTTAAATACTAGGGGAAATTAACTGAAAGTCTTTCAATACAAATCTAAAATGTGGGTTTTTCAGTCACACCGGTACAAATTGCCAATTTTCAACTTGCACTTGAGAGCGAACGGTTCGTCTGTACAATAAAAAAAATAGTAACATTTGTACAGAACTTTAAGTACTTTAATTTCTGTAAACAGGCCATTTACTAAAAGTTAACAGTTTTCGAGTTTTAACCAAAAAACCGGAAAAGGCAAAAAAAAAACGAATTCTTCTGGTTTTTTAAATGTTGTCCGCAAACCTCAGATTCAGATTTAGCACCCCAAAACACATATGGAATGAACAAATCAGAACTTCCCCAAAACTTTCCTACTAATATCACTTTACAGTACAAATTTACTGAAATATGTTCAAAGATAATTAAAAACTGTATATCCTTCATACTTAAATTATTAAAGTATTATTACAAGTAATAATTAATTCGATTTTTCTCAGTAGCACAACAATAGAACATTTTAAAAGCGAAATACACATTTTTCTGTTTTTTTATAACTCCATATTGGTTTCCAATAAAGAAAATAAAGAAAATGTAGCGTTCCACGTCCATCACTCTTCGGCTTTCACAAAAAACCGTCTAATAAAACTGCAAAACCTACTGTAATAATAAAAGTCAAGAACAAAAAGGTCTGCTCAATAACGCGAAAGAAAATAAGCGACCTTAAAAACAGGGAAACGAGAGGTCCATATTTTAGAGTCGTAAAATTCAGCTACGGTTACAATGTCAGGTTTAAGCTTTGCTTTAACATAAAATTACGTAAAAAAGAAAAAAAGGAAACATGAGGTAGATTCTCCGGAAATATTTTTGAAGGTTTTTCCTACATCTGCAACACATTTTTGTGCAATTTTTTGTAAACTCTAACGATGT